TTCCCATGACGTTTTTGAAGTCCTGCTACTTCACCACAGACAGCCATTGCCTGTGTTGTCACTTGGTGTGTTTTCAAGTGGACCTCTGGAGCCAGGCACGTGTGTCCGGCCCCCCATTCTTGCAGATCCCAGTTTGGCTTCTGCGTATTCATTTGAAGGGGCATAAACCTCAGCTTCCAGCTCTGGTAGCAGAAAGGTACCCAGCTGGAGTTGTAATTTTGAGTGAAACTCTTCTGTCAAGCACCAACAACATCTCAGGTGTGGGAGCTCCACAGAGAGCCCACCTGACAGGGGATGATTTTTTTTTTCAAGTTCTGAAGGCCATTAAAGTCATCTGTTTGTGTCTGCTTACAATTGGGAATGCACTAGTAAAGAAGTTGATCTCAACGTTTTAATTGCACATAATTACAACAGCAGAGACGCTGTCTGGTTGCGTGCGATCGCACTAAATCAGACAGCTTTAATTTGAATTTTTGATGACACATTAGCACTTCAGCAAGAACAGAGAGATTATAACCCCAGAAAACAAGCTTTGTTTTCCTGTAGATGTGACTGCTTCATCTTTCCATGAGATGCTAGCAAAGGAATTTGTGCATATTATATATGTGTGTGTATACGTACACTCACACACACAACAAGAGAGATCCAAGTACATAAAATCTGCCTCTCTTGGCCTTGTTTATCTGACAGTTGTTTCCCAGTTAAGGATGACTTCTTTCTGCTATTGTTGGCCAAGTCAGGTCTCCTAACCCAGTGGTGAGCTGCTTGTGTGAAACTGCGCTTGTTTGCATCTTGTTTCCAGGCAGAGCAGCATCCGCTGGCCACAGGAGTATGCTCCTGACAGACATGGAACCTAGCTAGGTGAGGTGGGATGAAGGATTCGCAGGGGCTCAGTTAGGCCTTTGAAGAATGCCCCACCTTAGCTCCTCACTGGCCGCCACTCAGCCCACTGGCAACCTCTGCCACTGGATGGTATCCGCAGCCTGGAAGCCTCCTCTCCATCTGCTTGACCAGCCTCATCCTCTTTCCCCCCAGTTCATCACCTCCATGGGATAGGGTACCTTCTTGAAGCCGTACAGTGCGTGTCGTACCTAACTTGGAACAGCATCTAATTACACTTCATCTTACAAGGCATTCAATATAGTATGTTGGTTCCCACCCTGTCAGCTCATCAGAATCTTCTGGGAGGTTTAAAAAAGGAAAGAAAAACGTGCCTAGATCCCAACCCAGATGAAAGACTCTGGCATTTGGGTCAAAGAGCAGGTACTTTTTAATTCTTGAGAAGCTCTCCTGGTGGCTGTACACAGCAGCCAAAGGCAAACATCACTGCTGGTTTGGCACTCTTTTCTCCAAGTTGATTGTAAGTTCCTGGCAGGGAGGACCTGTCCTGCTGTTACTCAGACAAAGCAGGATTTACTAGTCAGCTCATGCTTCCTCCTCATTCCCAGCTCAGTAAAACAGGTACTGACTGGTGAAACTGACCCTAGGACCAGCCATCCACAGACATGAGTCATGCTACATGACATGGTCTGATGCAAGGCCTTTGTTTGACATGCCACCAGGAGAAAGCATCCAAGTAAGTTCATGTGGTACCAGAATAATGCAATGCTGGGGGTGTCACAGGGTTTACAGGGAGATTCAAAGTATTGCCCAAAGTAGACAGTGTAGGCGGAGCCAGTCAGAACAGGCACCAGTGTTCAGCCATCCCACTCTATTTGCCCCAGAAGTGCTCAGCAGGTGTAGGCTTTTGACCTCGCCTCAAGCACGTAAGGCTGCATCAGGAAGTCTCCAGCATCTAGAGGAGACTGCCCGCCCAACTCCATCTTTGCCCAAGGACCCCAGGATCTTACCGCTCTGGATTACCAGCCCCATGCCACCCAGTCCCCAGCTCCCCGGAATAATGTGTGAAGCTGCAGAAAACCAGTCATCCAGCCACTTCAGGTTGGGCAGGAGAGATCCTAAAGCTTGTCCCTGTGATTGGAAAATTGCCATGGCTGGTAGCAAAGTTGTTCTCCTGTGACTACACACCAATAAATAGATGTAATTCCTATCCATTATTAATGAGGTTAATCAGAATTTTCAAGGGCTAGGAAAAAATAGTCCAAGCCTCCTATTTACAGTTGTAAGTAGCTGAAATTGTTTAATGGGTTGTTTGCTTTTTAATTTGTAGCAATTTTGAGGGCAGCCATGGGGACAACGAGTTTCCAGGTCTGAAGACATACAGTTTTGGGGAGGCCAGGTCTGCCTGCAGTTCATCTCCTAAGATCTCCCTGGTCAGATAGTGACCACAGAAGCACCGGGGTCTCCTATTCTCTATTTAATTGTCCAGATTGGAGTTCAACACTGGGTCTTCTGAGACACATTTGCCACACTAGTTTCTTTCCAGCCTTCTGGTTTCCCGTTGCTCTGTTCCTTTCGTGTAAATGGGCACTGATTGGGACATGGGAGGAGAGGTACCGTGCGCTCACGTATTCATACCAAGGTTCCCCTGACACAGGGAAAGGTGAAATTTTTCAAATGTAACTCGATTAACTCTGGATGGTACACCAACCGCCTGCTGCCTCAGAAGACCCCTGAGCACCCTGCATGTCTTTTGAAAGTTGGGGGGAAAAGGAGAGATTCAATTAATCTCAGAACTTCTCTTAATCGCAGGGTTGGGTACAGAGTTGACAAAAATCTGTATAAATAGGGTACATTTTTCCACTCGTGAGGGCTGCGCCGCAGCATCCTTAATTGGATTTTCATGGTGATTGACAGCATTTGATTATGACAGTAACTTTATTTGGCTGGACTGCTTTAGCCTCTTGTTCAGCTTTTCCCATCAAAGCTCTTTTTCATCGGCGGAATCCCCAGCGGAGCAGCAGTCATTGTGGACGAGCCTTTTAGCACCTTTGTCGCAGCCGTCCCTGGTGATGATTGGGCACAGCTGGTAGTAGATAAGAAAATGTCCCCTTCACAAAGGGGCCTCTGGCTCCCGCCTCTGTGGGTCTCAATAATTTTAAGAGTGCCCCCCCTCCAAACCTGTTGAGGATTAGCAGTAGCTTTAGATGTGAAATGAGTGTTAAGTATTAGTAATCGGGAGATTAGGGCCCCGGGGACAGTACGAGATAAACAACCACAATTAAGGCAAATCTGCCGATGTAAACAAAATTTAGCGGAAACAGATGCCCTAACCATTTTGGGGGATTGATTTGAGGGCACCAAGGAATCGATTTTTGTCTTGTTTACATTTCCAGACCCCTGTGATATACCGGAAGGCTGAGTATCTCATACAGCCCTGATTTTAGTTAATTTTTTTTCCAGCGCCTCGCAGTGGGTGCCTCTCTCCTCACAGTGACCAGGCCTGAGTTTATTCCGCGTTCACAGGGAGCAGCTAATTGTCTATGAAGGGCCCCCGTGTTTAAATGGGCTTGACAGGAATTTAAATTTTGTTTCAATCAACCCCTGTGCTCACAGCCTGCTCCAGTTTCTAATTTTTAAATTAAACCTTTTTTTTTCTTTTTTCTTTTTTTTTCGGGGGGGAAGCCAGCAGCCCTGCCTCACTCTCACTCTAGGGAAGGCAAGTTGGCCACCCTGGCACACGGGTGCTATTGCTGGCTGCTGGAAAGTTCTGTTCTCCCTCACCACCAGGCTGGCCCACCCCCCTGGCAACAAGGAGATCCACAGAGGCCAGGGTGGGCCTGTGTCAATGTCCACCTCCTTTAGAATCGACCACTTCTCTCCCAACCCCAGCTCTCCTGCACAGGCAACAGGCCCACCGCATCTGGAAAGTGGGCTAAGTACCCGAGGAAGGCAGGCAAGCAGGCGGCTTTCCTGTGCTGTGGATGCTGCAGAAGCCCGCCTGCCTACCCGCCACTGTGACACAGGGAGGCTGTGTTCTAGAAAGTGCTTCTCTGTTGTAGCTCTTGAGCATCCTCAGGAAGCAAGCAGTATGTGGTCAGTCCAAAGGGCTAACCCCAACTATTCCCCCTCCCCCGTCTCCCAAGGGAGAATGAAGACAGACACAGCAGGCACAGGGCCCAGTGGGAGCAGCGCTGAAAGCCCACCTGCCCCACCTCCTGCATTCCCCTCCCACCCCCAAGCTCACACTCTTTTTTTTTTAAAAGATTTATTTTTATTATTTTCTTATTAGAAAGGCGGATATACAGAGAGGAGAGACAGACAGGAAGATCTTCCATCCGATGATTCACTCCCTAAGTGAGCACAACGGGCCGATACTATGCCGATCCGAAGCCAGGAGCCTCTTCCGGGTCTCCCAAGCCAGGTGCAGGGTCCCAAGGCTTTGGGCCGTCCTCAACTGCTTTCCCGGGCCACAGGCAGGGAGCTGGAAGGGAAGCGGGGCTGCCGGGATTAGAACCGGCGCCCATATGGGATCCCGGGCATGCAAGGCGAGGACCTTAACCACTTGCACCACCGCGCCGGGCCCCAAGCTCACACTCTTACACGCAGGCCCTTGAACGTGCCTGAGGCTTTATCACTGTCCTGGTTTCCTCAGTGAAACCTGGTCCTGCAGTGAGCTCCTACACAGCCACCAAGTGTCACACAAACACCCACAGGTGCCTATCCTAGCACATGACTCCCACGTGGTGGCAGCAGCCTATTCCTGCAGTGGCACTTGCTTCTGAGCAGAGCTCACGCTCCTAGAGGACCAGATGCCACTTCTTCATCTCCATGCCCTTTGCATGGAACCCAGCTCCAAGTGGACTGCCCCGGGAATGCTCACTGAAGTGGAGGCCATGGGATTTTAGGGTCCCATAAGTGCTGGGGGAGAAAAGAGCTCTCCTGCAGCTGAGGTTACCAGGTGGCTTTATGAGGTGGGTGACACATGAGTAAGCCTCAAGGCTGCACACAAGTGTGAATGCAGCGTAGATGGTAAGGGAACATTCTAGGCCTTCTGCATCTGCCAGAAGGTGCACCACCACCTGAGTTCTCTGAATGAACTTGTGAGAGATCAGAGTCCAAGTTCACACCCAGCTGGTGGCCGCGAGTGAATTCAGAGAGCCTCCTGTCCCGTTTCTTTAAATAACACACTCCTTGTGCAGAGAGAAGCTATCCTAGTAGATTACACTTTCCATTTTTTATTTGGGATTTTTTTTTTCATCTTATTTAAAAGGCAGAGAGAAAACCAGAAGATCTTCCCTTCCGCTGTTCACTCCCTGTTTGCCCACCCCAGCCAGGGTTGGATGTGGCCAAACTCAAGATCCAGGAATTCCAGCCACATCTCCCACATGCAGGGCAAGGATCCCAGTTACTTGGAGCATGCTGCTACCTCCAATGGGGCACAGCAGTGGGAAGCTGGAATCCGGGACAGAGCTGGGACTGCGAGATGGGATGCAGGTCTCTCAAGTGACAAGTTCCCCCCACTGTAACAAACCCCCACTGCCACACAAGATGCTGCTCTTGTTGTTTGGTTTTGTCAATCACAAACCAAAGATAGAGGAGGCCATTCTAGGCATCTGGTCACCAAACTTTCTGCCCTTCTGTCCTGCCATCACATTTATGAAAACAAGCAACCTCCAATTCCTGTCCAGTGCCACGCTGGAGTGCCAGAGAAATGTCTCTGGGGTGGGCACACCTTCCCAAGCAACTGGGCTATTGTCTGGTGCAGCTCATATACCAGGCTGGGGACCAGCTAGGCTGTTTCTTGAGCACTAAGGAGTTGGTGCCTGGACATCAGTCAGTCTGGGCTCAGGGCCTTCTGTTAAGGTTGGCTGGTGAGCTTTTGGAGCAAGACATCCTCTACTCAGGCAGCTGGGGGCTGGCTTACATGACAGAACAGCAGAGCTCCTTCTTGCCTCCCACAGGCCTGGAGCAGCTGCTTGGGCTCTGCAGCTGTGAGGAAGGGACCACCTGACACGCTCCTGCCCTCCAGAGGCTGGCAAGGTGGCCACGAGAAAGGCCTTTCCATGAGCCACAGCTCGCATGGTATAAGGTGCCAAATAGCAATTCAGTCATATCTGCAGAATAAATGATCTAAGGCAGGCGTTTGGTAGAGCAGTTAGGACAACCCACGTTGGAGTTACCTGGGTTCAGTTCCTAACTCCAGCTTCTCACTCCAGCCTGCTACCAGTATGGACCCTGCGAGGCAATGGTGATGGCTCAAACAGCTGGTTTCCTACCATCCACATGGGAGATGTGGATGGAGTTCCCAGCTCCCAGCTTCAGGCCTAGCCCAGCTGCCAGCCCTTGTGGCATTTGGGGAGTGAACCAGCAGATGAAAGCTCTCTTTCTTTCTCTCCATCTCAAGCTATCTCTGCCTCTCAAGCAAATAAACATAAGCAAATATATCAAAGAGAACTATAGAAGCCAGATTGTAGTGAGTGCTGTGTGACAGAGGTGCACCAAACCACAGGTCACGCAGGTGTCCATGCCAAAGCAGTTGTCCAGGGAGCTGAGCACAGCCACAGGTCAAGCCCACAGCTATGACTTTGTTTGTCATGTTTGTAACCATGGCAGTAGGAGTGGAAAAGGGTCCAGGCAGGAAGGACATCCCCTGTGTTGTGTATGCAAGTCTTGGGGAGGCTAGAGAATGGAAACCCACTCTAGTATGTGCGTGTGAGACAAGCAGCGACCTGTTGCAGCAGAGACACACTACTGGGGGATTGTAGGGAAGATACAGTTTCAGGTACAGAGACCACTTCTAACTCTCATGTCCTAAGCTCATCTGAGCTGCTGTCATCTATAAAATGGGGCAACGATGCAAGTGGTCTGGGAGAGGGGCTTGACGTGGTTGGGGTTTTTTTTTTTTTTGCTTGTTTTGTTTTAGCTTCCATAAGATGCAGCTCATGGAAATGCATTTGTTGACTATGAAGCGTTAGCTGTGTGGGGGCACCACATGATGATGTTCCTGGGCACCTCCTGCTGGCAGTTTCTTACCAGACGAATGTGCATGGTGGAGCAAATGTCCCTAGGACAAAGCTCAGGCCCATGCACGGTTACAGTCATCAGGCCTGAGTTGGCAATTTCCCTGGGATGGGTCTGCATGTGTAATTCTTCCACGGGCACTGGAAGCTTTCCCTTGTGTCTGCCCTCTGTTACTGGCAAACGTAAGGAGTGTTGTAGTGGTGGACATTCATGGAAGAAATGTCCAGGAACTGGCATGTGGCTCACTGGTTAAAATGCTGCCAGGGACACCTGTGTCCTATAGCAACATGGCCGGATCCAACTAAGACTCGCCGCTCCACTTCTGATTCTAGCATCTGGCTCGCGTGCACCCTGGGAACAGCAGTGATGAGTCAAATGCTTGGACCCCTACCACCCATGTGGGCCACCTGGGTTGAGTTTCAGGCTCCCGGCTTTGACTTGGCCTGGCCTTCCCTATTACAGGCCTCTGAGAGCACATGAAAGAGCTCTTGGATTCTGACATGTCTTCTTTGTTTCTGCCCTCCCTGCCCGTCCAATTTTTGGTTTAAAGATTCATTTGTATTTATTAGAAAGGCAGATCAGATTTACAAAGAGAAGGAAAGACAGAAAAATCTTGCATCTGCTGGTTTGCTTCCCAAATGGCCACAGCAGTCGGAGCTAAGCTGATTGGAAACCAGAAGCTTCCTCTGGGTTTTCCACGTGGGTACAGGGTCCCAAGGACTTGGGCCATCCTTTGCTGCTTTCCCAGACCATAAGCAAGAAGCTGGATGGAAAGTTGAGCAGCCAAGATACAAACTGGTGCCCATATAAAATCCCAGCACTCACAAAGTGAGGATTTAGCCATTGAGTAATCGCTTCAGGTCCCTAAAAAAAAATTTTTTTTTAAAGAAGCACACACATCTTCTGTAGCAAGCCAGATGGAAAAGATAAGACAAGCCCCATGCTGCTGGCTTGGTGGTGCCGGAGCTCAGGGTGGGCTCCAGCTGACCTGCGGAAGGGTTAGAGTTGGCCTGATGAGGGGATTAGGAGTAGGAAAGTAGAGGCTTAACAATGAGCCAGCTTCCTTCATCCCCCATCCTGACCTGGCTACCCAAAGCCAGATGTACTGAGCTCTCAGTCTCTGGTTCTTGCTTGTAACAGTGAGGCCTCACAACCATGAAATGTGATTGAGATCAAAGCACGTTACACTCCGCACAATGTCTGGTCTTATTCCTCAGCATCCCTGACATTATCACTGCCCAAGATGAGAAGAAAGTTGTTCCAGGCAAAGAAAACAGCACAGGTTGGGATCTGAACAACTGGGGGCAGGGAGGAGCCCACCTGGCTGCTGAAGGGCTCCAGCTGGCCTCCAAGCAGCAGGTCCTGAGGAGTGGCCTGACAGGAGCGCTGTCCGCCCCGAGCAGGCTATGGCGCACAGGTCTCCACCATGGGAGGCAGCCACGCAGGGGTTGGAGGGGGCACCCTGCAGCTGAAGCTGATTCTCACATGGGAATGGCCCAGCCTTCCAGCTCTTCCTGAACTTCCGTACAAGTCTGCAGCCCGCAGAAGGAGGAGCCAGGTTCAGAAGCTGGCAGTTTCTTGGCAACATGTCACTTGTCTCTCCCTGCGTCTTGTCTTGGTTCAGTGTCCTTCCTGTCACCATCAGGGAAAATCATTAGTATGCTAATCTAGCCAGCCGTCATTTTAACACTGACCTTTGCTAACCTGCCTTTGCAATTTCAGGAACTATGTTTGACTTCTCGGAAAGTAACCTTAAATTGTAGTCTTGTAAGAATTCCAGAGCTGTATCCTTCACTCCCTCTTCTAATGAGGTTATGACCAAATGCTCATTATAATTGCTTTAGACTCCTTTTAATTTTCAAGCTTATTAATCATAAGAAGAGTTATTTAAAATTGCATAAATTAATCTTAGATTAAAAGCCCATCAAAGCCTCGAAACAATTAAGAATAAGTAGGATTTCCCTGGGGCAGCAAGTTTTATTTTAATATTGTAGTCAGGTGGATATCAGAACCTTGAAGGATGGTAGTGATTAATGTATGCAAAATTTAAATGAGATTTTTTTTAAATGGCAAATCTAAATCACGTATTGACCTAACTGTAGGCTCTAACTGTATTGTCTGTCATATATTTAAACTGTTTACTAATCAACGTTTTAATTACCGGGTGTGCTAGCAGAGCCTAGGACAAATAAAAATTTAAAATGTTGCTGCTGAGTCTGTACCCAGAAACAGCAAGGATGTGGGGATCAGAAGGCAGCAAGAGAGGTGACTTGGAGGAGTAGAAGTGAGGCTTGGAGCCGGCCCCAGGCCCTGCTGAGGCCCAGGCCCTGAGCTCCTCTAGCTGCATGTGGCTTTCCTTTGCAGCTGATTTCTGACTGTTCCGGAAGATGCTGTCCTCCATGTATTGGTGTAAGGCATTATTGACTTAAAAGGGGTCTAGCCCTGGAGTCCCTAGACCCTCTCCCAATTTATAACATGATAGAAGCTGTTTCCGGGAGTCTGATTTGACCTCAGCCATTCGTCTTGCTCTCCGTACAACTCCTGGGTCCCTGATCGCTGCTGACTTGGACTGGTTGTTCCCATGAGGAAAGGAATCTCTCCTATTTGGCAAATACTCTGTTTTACTAGAAGAGGTACAGCGGTCCAGAGGGCCACCATGGGGAAATTATATGTCACCCTTGAAAACTGTAGTTCTCACTTCATCATCAGTGGTGACCAACTAAGGGCTGCTGTTTTTAAGAAAGATCCAAACCAGATGAGGCAAGCAGGGCACTGCTGTGTCATTGCAGGGGTAAGCCACCACCTGCCATACCCACATTCCTTATCAAAGTGCCGGTTCCAGTTCCTGCTAATCCAGTTCTGATCCAGCTCCCTGCCAATGTGCCTGGAAGGCAGCAGAAGTTGGCCCAAGTTCATGGGCCCCTGCACCCACATAGAGACCCATATTAAAATTCTGGCTCATAGGTTTGTCCTTCTCACGCCCTGGCTGTTGTGGGCACTTAGGGAATGAACCAGTAGATGAAGATCTCAATATCTCTCTGTCTCTCTTTCTCTCTCTCTCTTTCAGTTTGTGTGTGTGTCACTCTTTCAAATAAATAAATCTTAGAAAAAAAAATGACAGGACATGTTAAGCACTTAGCAGAGTAGCTGAAAACACTAGGCTTCTCCCAATACTTATTCCCACCTTTATCAGAGTTTAATTTCTTTTTTTTTTCTTTTTTTAAAGATTTATTTTTATTATTATTTTTTTTTATTTTTATTGGAAAGGCGGATATACAGAGAGGAGAGACACAGAGGAAGATCTTCCGTCCGATGATTCACTCCCCAAGTGAGCACAACGGCTGATGCTATGCCGATCCGAAGCCAGGAGCCTCTTCCTGGTCTCCCACGTGGGTGCAGGTTCCCAAAGCTTTGGGCCGTCCTTGACTGCTTTCCCAGGCCACAGGCAGGAAGCTGGAAGGGAAGCGGGGCTGCCGGGATTAGAACCGGCGCCCATATGGGATCCCGGGCTTGCAAGGCGAGGACCTTAACCACTGCGCCACCGCGCCGGGCCCCAGAGTTTAATCTCTAAAATTAGTCTCTAAATTATGGTTAAAGATTCTAGTTCCACAGATTTACAATAAGTTAGTCTAACTGCAGCTCTTAGCCTGGCTCCTGGCCCTACTCAGTAAGTGCTTTAAACAGTGCCTTGTGTATCCTTCAAGAATATTACTTGTGTGTGTCCTGCCCCTTGCCTGTCACTCACCATGTCTTCGAGGTCTTTCCACATCATAGACAGGTCTACCCTATTTTATTCATGGCCATATGGTGTGTATTCAAAGGAGACACCATAGTTATCAACCAGGACCCTGTTCTAGAACATTCTGGGCATCTCTAGATTTGTGCTGTTAGAGGACAAGGGCTCTCCTATACGTATCTCCATATATTGGATGTAGGAGAGGCCAGTTGTACCTCTCCTGATACTAAGCTATCAAATATTAATCTCTTCCTGATTTTTCTTATCTGAGCAGGGTAAAATGGTATGCAGTTGTTCAATTTGCATTGCTTTCTAACTGTGAAGACGAGGATGGTCATTTTTTTTCTTAAGTTTATCAGCTGTCCGTATCTTTCAACGTCCATTGCCTGTTTCTCTAACGGATGTGTTGCCTCCTGCTTGTTCATTTTGAGCTTCGATTTCTCCATCGAGAAAGCGAAGGAGTGGACTGTCTCCAGGACCCCTCCTCCTCCTGCAGTATATGACCCTGGCCCGAGTGTCCTCTGGGCAGGTTTATGCTAGCAAAGGTGCCATCTGCTCATGACCTTGTCCAACCAGCATTGAGGTGATACGGCCAGCAGTGGGAGGCTAAACTATAAGAGGGTCATTTTCTCCTCCCTTTGTTTGCTTGTGTATCTTCCTGGTTTCTCTGGGAAAAAAAAAAAAAAAACACTCAGGCTTGGAAATTGCAAGGCAGAGCTGGGATTGAACTTCCTTTAAAGCTGCCTGTAGACATGAGGAATATTTATTTTCTCTATTTGTTTTAAGCCTGGGAAGACTGTGTGGTTTTCTCAACACTGTCCTGATGGAGCCCTGGCCAGCAAGCGTGCAATGCCCCAAGCCCTAATGTGCCATTAATGATAGGTTAATGTACAGTATAATGTTTTTGGGACTACGGGTTCATTACACTTCTGAGTGTGAGGTCTTTCCACAGAGCGCCCAAGGTCCCATTGCATTATATCATGCAATAAAAATACCCTTTTCATATCACACACTAATAAACTGTATTTGAAATGCCGTCTGAGGGCACTGGCGTCTCGTCTATAGGCTGCGCACCAGTGCAACAGTTGGGATCCTCCTTCTGTGTTGTGTTGTGGTTGCACGGAATTCTGAACCCAGGAGAACTCTGTTCACTCTTGATTTCAGTGGGGAGCAAGTTGGATCTTTAGACCTGAGATTCAGGGGAAGATCCTTGAGGCACTGAAGAACATGGCTATCAGAATCCCCAGCCCTCTACTGCCCACCCCTCACATGCACACACACACACTGTGCGCACCTGTCATGAGAAGCTGTGTCTGGTGTGTGCACTGAGCACTGAACATGTGTCAGAGGTCACATACATTTTCCTAGGAAAGGATTAGAGTACAGCAAAACCACAGGCCATTCACAGTCATGACCCTGGGACCGCCTTCACAGTGGCCTCCATGCTGGGAATGTCACACTCACATCTAAGAAGCTGGCACCTCTCTCCTTAACAGCAGACCCCATTGTCATGGACAGCAAGCAGTGGTGTGAAGGGTGACGTCCACAGGACCCCGGGGACCCACAGGTGAATTCATGGGTGGCCATCCCAAGGCCCCAAACGCCAAGGACAGCTCCACTCTGGGGAGGTCAGGGCTGCAGCTCATCTCAAATGCACCTGAGCCCTTCCAGGCTCTTCTGTCTTCCCGGGAAGCAGTGGAATCCAGCAGTTTTCTGCTCAGCAGTTGGGTAGGCGTCAGAGATGGTTTAGGAGCTTGGAATGCTTCACAAGAGGAGCCAGTTGTGCATTAAGCACAAGCCAGAGCATTGGAATCCAGCAGTGGGGCAAAGATGGGGGCTGGGGAGCACTTTCAGTCACCTGTCCCACGTTGTGCCGTGACTCTGATGCAGCAAGCTTGCCTCGTCTCTTTGTACACTGCTGGAGAAGGTTTGACCCAGGAGGTCCCAGAACTGGGGTTCCAGATGCCAGCCCAGAGCACCCTGTCCCTATTCCATAGCGTAGTGTCCTTGTTTATAAACTAGGTTAATATTTGCATTCTGATAGGGCTTTTGGAGACCACATGAGCCAAAGTAAATGGAAAGGCCTGGTGAGTTCCTGGCCCAGGGACAGCCATTCTAGGCTATGATTACCATACTATAACCAAAGGCACAGGCCTGATTCTGCCTTGGCCAAGTGATACCTCTGAACTGAACTGAGCTTTTGAATCTGCAAATGGAAGGGAATGGCAGTCATCCTGTCTAGCCATGTATGTGACACTTGCATAAGATAATGAACTTGAAAGCACTGTGCAGAACAAAAACCTGACTCAAATGCAGATGGAATCAGCATCCTCAAACCAGGTTATATTTGAATAAATATCCCATAGCAGAGCCAGGAAGGGGAGTGATTAGAAAGATCTGCAGTCTACCCCTAACCCAAGTAGGGAGCAGGGTACGCATTGTGGCTAAGCTGTGTAGTGTAGACTGAGTCACATAAAATGTTTGAACATCGGGGCGGAACCCAACAACAGAGCAATGAGGCAGGACAGGGCAGGGCTATGCTCAGCTGCCTGCTGCCTGCGGACAAAGCTGCATAGCACAGAGGTGGTAGGGCAGATAAGAGCAGGGAACCCTGTTGCTGGAGGGTTGAGTCAGTCTAGAAAACAAAGCAGAAGAGGGAAAAGAGAACTTGGGGAGGGGAACAATGCAGATACCCTCCTGATCAAGGCTGGACCCCAAACTCCAGGCAAAACCCAAAAGCCTACCTCGATGCCACAAGAAGAGTATTTCCGTATCAAGGGCTTTCTCTGAAGAGGCCTATGGGGAAAATGGTTGGCTGGAATCTTTTGTCATCAGAGATGGGAACATTTGGGTCTACCTCTCAGGGGTTAAAATCTGTCTTGGGGGCTCACAAGACTTGAAAAAAATGTTCCCCGGGATCAAGAAAACCAGAAGTGACAAGTTCATTTAAAAAGCCTGGTTTGTCATTGTTTATCTAATTTTCAGAGTTGACACAGAAAATTAAACCAGCTGACACTCACTCTCTGACCGGCTCTCCGCCTCATTTCCCTGGCCCTTGCCTACCTGACCTTGCAACTAACAAAATGCTCCCAACCCTGAAATGTGGAACTTCCCACAGAGTTGCTGAGTTCCCCTGGTTACAGTTGTGCCAGGATTATGTCACAGGTGTCATCCCTAATGTTATTTAAAAAAAAAAAAAGAAAAAGCTGAGTTTACCAGTCTGCCCTGGAAGGCCTTTCTTTTTTCCTGATCCATGTTAGCCATAAATCTAAGAAACAAACTCTCTATAAAGTCAGGCAAGATAAAGCCAGATGTTGCATGGCCCCTTAAGGTTTTTTTTTTTTAAGATTTATTCATTTTTATTAGAAAGACAGATTTACAGAGAGGAGAGAAAGAGAGAGAGATCTTCCATCCACTGGTTCACTCTCCAAATGACTGCAACAGCCAGGTCTGAAACCGGGTCTCCCACAGGGGTGCAGGGTCCCAAGGCTTTGGGTCATCTTCCACTGTTTTCCCAGGCTGCAAGCAGAGAGCTGGATGGGAAGTAAATAAGCCGGGACATGAACTAGTGCCTATGTGGATTGCTAGTGCTAGCAGGCAGAGGATTAGCCTGTTGAGCCAATGTACTGGCCATAGCACCATACGTCTTTTTGCCAGTTTCCTTATCAGCAGGCCTATCTACCTCTTACATCCCTGCCTCCTCCCCACTCCATGACATCATGGGACAGTGCCAGGCTGGGGAAGCTTGTGCCCTGCTGAACACTGGCATCCCAGCTCTGGAAAGCTAATTGTAAAGGCCACATTGCCAGGGCTCCACATGAGAACATTGTTCAGACAGCCAAAGCGTACACTCCTTGACTAATCAAAGCCCTTCAGAATTTCAGAAGGTGTTCGATGTATCTTGCTCTCCCCACTTCCCTAAAACAGATGGTGTGTGTGTCAGGAGTGAATGTGTTTTCAAGTTTTCTTTTACATCAGCATTAGGGAGAACCCCTAGTTGCTGTCTCATTGATGTAGTGCCAGCACCAGCCGACCCCAAAA